AAACAAAACAGCAAGGCAGTGATCTAAACCAGAAATCAGTTGTAGTGGACTTGGACGGGGAATGCCCAGATTCCCCTGCTGAGAAAACAATGTTATCAGCAGAAAGCCTCCAGCTTTGGGCCCCCGGGAGAGTACCACCCTTAGTTGAAGACAAATATCCTTGCCCCAGGCCTTGGTCTTCCCCAAGCACCCCAGGACCAGAGACTAACTTGGCTAGAGTATAGTGCACAAACTTTTGACCCAAGGTGAAACGACCCTGACATTTTAGCTCCAGAACTTCCTCCAGAGGTTGACCAAGGCTTTTACTGTTCAACTTGCATCACAGTCTGGTTTCTCTCCTCAATCTTGCTTTCTTCCTTCCCTTTAGTGGTAATCCCACAGTTGCTCCCCCAAATCCTGTATCCTACGCTTCCCTGAAGTCTGATCCCTAAAGATCCCTATGTGGGCAATGGTCTTCAGAAAAACTAGTAAGATGAATAAATCGCTAGTAAGACTGAAAAAGAGAAAAATAAAATAAACAAAATATAGAATGTAAGAGAAGAATTAACTACTGACATAGCAGACAAAAAATATAGTGATAAGTTAACTTTGAAAACTTGGAAGAAAAAGTTCTGGACAAATACAAGATGAAACTGTAGCATAAAAGTAAATAGAAAGCTTGAATAAACCAATAGTGATTAAAGAAATTAAAAAGATGATCATATACTTCTTCCCCTTAGCACACATCTTTGCTTAGATGTTTTCACATAATACCACAGATTTTCAAGTGCTAAATAATTCTTTTTATACACCTTATTCCAGAGAATAAAAGAAAACATTTCCAAACTTTCTTAATGAAACCAGTATAATTTATATTATAAAACTAAGTAAGTCAGTATGTGAAAAAATGATAAACTCATGTAATACAATTTTCCATAGAATATTTTAATGCATGATGATATTAATTGGTCATAACACACAACTAAAAGGTAAACTTAAAGTCAATTTTTAAATTTAAAAAATCAATTAATTTGCCCTCGCCAGTGTGGATCAGTTGGTGGGGCATCGTCCTGTGCAGAGACATTGCTGGTTGATTTCTGGTCAGGGCACGTGCCCAGGTTGCTGGCTCGATCCCCAGTAGGGGGCATGCAGGAGACACCTGATCGATGTTGTGCTCTCACAATGATGTTTCTCTCTTCTCCCTTCCTTCCTCTCTAAAAAAATCAATAAATTATTCTTTCTTTAAAAATCAATTAATTTTAAAAGTATTTTAGATTCATGAGGCCACAATGGTACTCTAAAAAAAGAGTGTTCCTTTACAGAATGTTAGTTAAAAAATGAATAAAGACTGATAGTTTGCAACCCTCGATGTAATAATTGATTCAGACATGAATGACCATAGGATTCTAAGATTCGTTGGGTGAAGGGCTGTTGGAAGAGAGTATAGAGGAGGTAAATGGTGATGGGG